ACTCCACACTCCGAGTCACGATTTTCCCTTGACTACCGTCCAGTGGTTCCGGCACAATAGGGAAGAGATGCGGCGCTGCGGGTGCAGAGCTGCCCAGAGAGGGCTCCAGGCCATGGCACAGTCACTGCGCAAGGAGGAGACACGACGCCCGGGGTCCCGGCTGTCAGCCCAGCCGCCATCTTATGGCTGAAGGGGACTGAGGGCCGAGCTGCGCCAAGGACAACTCTGGCCAAGGAGAACTCGGGACACGGATTTTGGAGCCGACAGCGGGGAGGCAAGAGTCCAGCCACAGCCTCTTCAGACTGGTTCCAACCGGCCCCTCCCCGTCTCCCGGTGCGTCGGACCCGGCCGACTCACCATTTCTAGGCTTCCTGGGGGGTCCTGGCATCTTAAGCTGTGGATCTCCCAATACCTACAGGTTACAGGGACACAGAGGCTAGGCCTGTAGGACCAGAAAACACAGAACAGAGAAGACAAGACCTGGAGCTGCGGCTGCAGCCGAAGACCGCGCCAAATCCCGAAAGCCGTCCTGTCCTCTCCAGCTGCGTTTCCTGATTGGATGGATCGCAGCCCAGCGTCCCTGATTGGATAACGTTTAACATCCCACCCCCTCAGGCCCTGAGTGACAGAAGACGTGCTCAGGGGCTGGGCTGAATGAAAATAGAGTGAAACCTAAGCTGCAGCTTTTTCAGGCAGGGCTTCCTCCCTGAGCTGAGCCAGGCCTGCCCCAGAGGGTATTTGCATTTAACCATGTGTATAAGATCATATGCATTTATAAATAATATATGGCTATTCACAAGCGAAGATAATGTAATAACAATTATTTTGAAATTCCAGATTTTATTAACTTACCAGCTTCTGGTCCTTTGAGTAGGCAGCCTGAGATTTTAAAAAGAAGGCAATTCTCTGAAATAAAATGTGGGCCACATGTGAATTCTAAATTTTCTAGCAGTCAATTTTTTTTTTTTTTTTTTTTGAAACAGGGTCTGGCTCTTGTGCCAAGGCTGGAGTGCAGTGGTGCGATCTTGGCTTACT